AAGTCGTTGACCGCGTATATGGTGTGCGAGCAGTTGTCCTCATCGGACCCATCGAAACAGTCGGGCCTATGATTGCATCGCTTGTGACTCTCCACACACTCCCCGCTTTTACACGTAAAGCCCGAGCACTTCATCGCCGGCTTCACCGCGTGATCGGTCTGTTCGTTACGACAGCCCCACTCGTCCGTCCCGTCCCCGCAGTCATCCCTCCCGTTGCAGACGTCGCTCAACGGCACGCACCCGGACGTATGAATGCATTTGAACTCATTTTCCGTGCAATTCTTGGCACCGAATTTGCAATTGTCTTCGTCTTCGCCGCCGTCGCAGTCCTTCTGGCCGTCGCACAGCCACGAGTCCCACACACACTGCCCGTCCGCGCACTGAAACCTCTCGCGACCACAGCCCTCCTTTGATCCCTGCGTGGGAACGGCCGGTGAGGTCGCGGAACCGCTATTCTTGTAATCACAGCCGCTTTCGTCGGAATTGTCGCCGCAGTCGTCCACTCGATCGCAACGCCATATCAATGGCACACATATACCGGTCGCGCATCGGAACCAATCGCCAGCGCATGAGTCCAATGGATTCGCGGTCGTAGACGTCGTCGATATGGCTGTCGAGGGTTTGGTCACCACTGATGTACTGTTCGGACAGTCCTTCTCGTCCGTGTGGTCCTCACTATCGTATCAAATGGTAATCCAATTAAACCTATGATCACATCCAATACAACGACAGACACATACCAGTCGTACTCTCCATCGCACTGCCAGGTCTTGAATATGCATTTCATGTGATCGCACGAGAATTGCCACGAATTACACGAAGACCGGGAACAGTTGGCTTCGTCCGACTTATCTCTGCAATCGTTATCGCCTTTAAAATGACAACAAAATCAATAAATTCATTGACACAATTGGACACAAAATTGAATGAAAGGTCAGACCATCGCATCGCCAAACAGCGAGAACACAGTCGCCATTCTTGCACTGAAACTCGTCTTCTTTGCATTTCGATGTCTTCGTCGTACAGTTCTCCTCATCGCTGCCATCCCTGCAGTTGTCTTCCATATCGCACATCAACTTCCGGTCAATACATCTGTGATTTTTGCACTGAAATTGTGTGCTTTCGTTGCATTTGGGATACACTGACGAACACATCGTCAGCTCTTCGTCCGAGCCGTCCATACAGTCGGCATCGAAGTCGCACTTCCAGTGACTGGGAATGCATTTGTTGGAGCGCTTGCATTGGAACTCATTCTCATTGCACTGATGGTCACTACAGTTCTTCTCATCGGATCCGTCGCCGCAATCTATTCAACGAAACAGTCATTTAAATCAATACTAAAAACTTCAATCACACGCTTCGCACCGTTATCTCTATCGCATTTCCACAGCTTTTGGATACACAGGCCGTTATCGCACAGGAACTCCTCGTTATTACACGACTGGCCCTCCTTTCGAGGCTTACAGAGGCCTGATTTGGTCAGCTCTTCGCCGTTACGACAGCCGCACTGTTCGTTACCTTCGGGTGTCTTCACGACGTCGAAGCCGTCCGGACACAAGCACTTGTGGCCACCGAAACGCTTCGGTACACATAAATGGGAACAATTGGAGGTCTTATTATCACTACAGCTGTTCACGGAGTCCCTCAACTGTGGCGTCACTATCTTCAGGTCCATCGCACCGGCGATTTCGCTCAGAATCACTCGCCTATCGCTGCCGTCGTTCTTATTCATGAGTATAATCTGCTGGAGGTTCCAGTCGTCGAAGTAGATGTAGTTCTTGAACACTCCCAGCGCGAAGGGGTGGGGCGTGGAGTCGCCCTCCGATATGTACGTCAAGTGGTGGCCCTCGAAGTCGGCGCTCGCGATGTAGTCTCTCTTGGCGTCGACCCAATAGATCTTATTCGTGAGATAGTCAACGGCTATGCCATTAGGCCACGAGACCACCGTCTCGTTGAACAACACCTTCACGTTCTCGCCGTCCAATTCGCACCGTATGATCCCTGGCCTCGTATTCCCCCAATCCGTCAGAAATATGTAGCCAATCATCACATTCAGGGCAATACCCCGGGGCTTCTC